ACAAAGAAAAAATAAATAAACTAAACACAGCTTTACATAATGCACAACAGCTAAACATTGTTTATTTTACTGGAAAACCAGTTAAAATTGATATACAAGTTATTTTTCACACATTTCTCAGTGTTTTTCTTAAGTATTGTTTCACATTAATGACTTCAGAGACAATTACCCAGCCCTAACGCACATCCTGTTTCACAGCATTACACCCTGAATGCTCATTCATGCTGTAAGGATCAACTGATACTTATTTAATGGACTGAATATCTATATTAAATATAGTTTCTAGCAGGCACATTCATTAGATAATGGTGGTGGACTGCCAACTACGTTTTTAGTGCCTAATCAATTAAAAAACATTATTGTGGTGAAAGAAAAAAATGTCATTTAATGTAGTCTGCCTTAGCAGAGGGCAGGCGACTAAATTTAGTATAAGGGGGGGGGGCAGCTGAATGATTGCATCTCCACTTGGATATTTATGACTTGATTATTAAGAATTATTGAATGGATGCAGTATCTGACCAGGTCCTGGTGTTCCCCTCGTCAGTTATTAAACACACATGATCAAGGACGAAAAGAAGGTGACAGCTGCAAAAGAGGACTACATATAGACCAACGCTGTCATTCATTTTCTCTACATTGCAGGCCTGTTGCATTGCATGGGTGTGTCCCGTTCAACATCAGTAAATTTTCTGCATTAAAACTCGGCTTATCAGGTAATAAACACCGGCCCAGTTGGTCTGTTTTGTGGGTAACATTAACAGATCTATCAGTCCGATATTACTACTGTCAAAGTAAATAAAAACGCTGGTAATGCTTTCTGGTGAAGCAGGAAGGGGAGAGGGTGGACCTGTCCACATGAATTACTCTGTGATCTAAACGTGTCCGGACACAGGTCAGATTGGATTGAACCCCACGCAATGACACTGAGAAAGATTAACAACTCGCGTACTGTGTCTGTTAGATCGATAACAGTCCTGGTCACAGTATATACGAGCGTAAATCAGCTTAGCTCTGAAGTGTAGGCCTTACCTTTTCACCGTTCAGTGGCCAAGTACTTCCCTCTTCATCGGTGAGTTACCTGACTCACGCAGGTGTTTTCAGGAAGATCAGAGGGGAAGAGAGGGAGACGACATAGACGCAGCAATTCAGGGCCGGTTCAACTTTTTTTTCCTTTTAAAAAGTTTTTAAATCTCAGACGAATTGATCAACACAATGTTTACCGCTGCAGATAAAAACAGAGTTAACAAGAACTTTGCACAAATTCCAAGCGTAGTAAAACCTCGCCACCCCCTGTTGTAAAATGCGCCCGTGTCCTCTTGGTCCTAGTGCTGCTCAAATAAACCTCGACCGGGAATAAATTAGTGGTACAAGGAGACGCCCAGAAACAGCTTATTGAAATAAAGTAATTGTATTGTACAACACGATTAATGTTGGATGTATTAACTGTATTAATTACAGACACACACAATTAGATATTAGAACAATAAAACTATTGTCTTACAGGAATTAGACAGTATTTCAGAGCCCAGAGTAAAATATTTATGTTCTGTAAAAATAAAAATAAGCAAATCTTGATTATTTAGTTGCTGGTGAATTTATTAAGGGTGCATTTATTGAACTCATAATTTTGCTTATAAATATTTATTCTTTACATTTAATTAAATTGTATTTATATGGCTGCAAATCACAACAACACTTGCCTCAAGGTGCTTTATATTGTAAGATAATACAGCAAGCACCTGGTAATAGTGGGAAGGAAAAACTCCCTTTTAAGAGGAAGAAACTTTGTCAGAACCAGGCTCAGCGAGGGGCAGCCATCTGCCGAGACCGTTGTGTATGAGGAGGAACACAAGACAGAAATGAATAATAACTAATGGTTGGAGAGGGGCCTGAAAGCTTAAAATAAGGTAGGGCCTGATTATTCAAGTAAGTAACTACATGCTTTGTCAAAGTATCTTTGGTATCTAAAAGAGAAAATGAGCTCCCGTGATAAGATCCTAAGAGAGCATCTTTATAGAAAAAGGCCGTTTATCACATGACCTTCAGGGGATTCAATTATTTATTTAAATCCTTATGAAAATCCTAATAATCCTAATGAAAGCTC